TGAATACCCTAAGCAGGCGCTGTCGTGGCCCGCATTTACATTCAAGGGAAGGGTCACAGCGCCTAACCAAGGTGAAACATGCAGACCCAGGCGTCCACCGTAACAGCCCACCCTCAAATGGCAGAACAGTCACACCAACGCTGGTACTCTTATCCCCTCATTTATGAAGCACAATTGATATGAAGCGATAGCCACATGGACATATGAGTACATACGTACAGCCGCATCCACCAGAGCGGTTGTTGGCACAATAGAAAACTCGTCCAAAAATGCTCGTCTACTGCCGTGGAGAACAGAGGGTTTTCGCAAGTTTTTGACAGTTTGGAATAGCTTTCTCGTCATTTTTGCCATTTTTGTATCACCCCTACTCCCATTTCTGAGCAAGTACCAAACTATCGTGCTTTATGCCTTTGAGGCACAATCATTAGGTCGCGGAGGAGCACGCTTGAGCCAGTACGAACGGTCGCACTTACGCACCTAGGAAAAATGAAAAAAATCTTATCAACATGTTTGCGAACCCGTCTCCAATTTCGATGCCGTTCGACGCAGCTTTTGTGCCTTTTGGATGGATCACAGTGACGGTCCAATTGGCTTTGAAGCTCGGCTCATCCAAACAAGGCACCATTCGGCGAGCATCTGTTGGCTCCATTTGAGATACTGCTGCGATCCTAAATATGGGCTATACTCAGAAAGCTTCTTTTCCACTCGAACGATTGTGATGGTATAAGGATTGTCATCCCGTTATCAACCCATTTGTGGAATGCGACACGCATGCGACGTGCAAGTCATCATCCTGAACTCACCCTCCTGGACGAATCTGCTACCAGTTTACCGTCCCCAGAGAGTAGAAGACGTGGCTTGGTGGGCGTGGGCGGGAGTCGACCCGGGATTTGAACCCAGGACCGCGCGAGGTAAGTGCGCCACTTTTGACTAAACCACCTCTTACCAATACCGCTCGATAAGTCAGTAGAATTTCATGATAACTTTCGCTCCTGATTATTCCCAGAAAAACTCAGATCTCTGATTTATAAGCAGAAGGGGTGGCTCCAAGAACTACATAGAGCTGGGTTTCATGCAAGGGTAGAGCGCAAGCGAGGATTTGCGAAATGGTGGTGTTGGCGCGCGATGGCGTGCGGGAAGGGGGGGGGGGGGGAGGGGGGGCAAAGGGGGGGGGGGGGGAGGGGGGG